CCCATACAGGGGGCCGGGGTCCCGGGTGCTGACCCCCGGAACCCCGGAACCCCGGCGGGGTCCCGGGGCCGGGGGTCGACAACCCTGAGCGCAGCAGATATATGTACTGACTGTGCTCCTCGCCTCAAAGTTGATTTTACTCCTTGTTCGGATGTATCCGGATTTGGAATACAACACCAGACTATACACTGTGACTTACATTCGTCTCAAAATAGGACACACAATAATGTATTGTTTTATCGAATGACATGTTATTACTGCCACACGACTTCGTCTTCTCGCCCCTCCCTCCCATGGCGGCCGCCTGCTTCGACGGCGAAATGTTGGCTGCGTCATCCTCCCAACCTTCAGCGCCGTTGTCGTTCCAGTCGGGGTCGTGCGCGTCCGCCCCTGCTTCCTCACCGTCATACCCGTCTTCCCCAACACGCAATCGCTGCACCCCCCGAGTTATGGACTCCTCCCGCACTGACCTCATCAACCGTCGCTGTTTTGCCCACACCTCCCTTCCGTCACGTGCGTCACCAACATCAGCAACGGCAGGCGCTGTCTCCCTACACTCGCCAACACGACGACCTGCACTCGAACCAACGAACAGGGGAGATAGAGACTGCATCCACTGGGGGCGAGCGGAGGCAACCCTACACACAGACGGCGACCGAAATTGCTGCCTAGGAGGATCGTTGTTGTTCCCCGAAGCCTCCCGCAGCGGCGCTGGAGACCTGAGTGATCCTGAACAGCCGTCACGTTTGCCGCCATCGTCGTCGGGATGGGGGTTCACGACGACCATTCGAGAGACGACTGCTGACCTCCCACTGTCGAGTCCAAACGACAGATTCACGCCACCATCACCATCGGTGTCGCTGAGCCCCTGCTGGAGGAGTTCGGGGTACGACTTCCCTTTACTGCCGTCACGGCTTCCAAACAGCTCTGTAGCCGCCCACTCCTGGGTGGATCCGCTTCCCAGCGGCACGGTCCGTGAGCATTTATAGTCCCCTTCCTCGTCGTCCGTCTCAGGCAAAGGTTGCAAGTGCGGTGGCAGGTGCGCGTGCCCGGACTGCTCCGACGGCCTTGGACTATTCGACGGGCTGTGCTTGGACCACCGCCCACCGCGCTCCCCTGCGGACCCGCTGATCGCCTTCCGGCCCTCCATTCTGTCGTTGTTCTTCAAACACCTCCTTCTACGACCACGTCGCGGAAGGCCGCCGAAAATGCACACATGGAAGACAACCAGGAGGAGGAGCAATAGGACGACCTGCAGCAGCAACGGCAGCCTCTGAAAGACATCGGCCATGAAAAGCACGTGGATGACAGTGGCAGCTACTAGACAACGGGGGATCTATCACGTAACGGCGACGGACACTGCTGCAAACGCCTAACCGCAACAAACGACAAAAGCACGGTAACGCATTCCGTTTGTGAACACATTGCGCAATTGCCCTGCTGGGGAACAGTTCAAATATTCGAATCTTGCGACCGTTGGGCGCCTTCCCGCTCGGGGACAAGAACGGCGACGCAAAAAAGCCGATTTTCGACGTCCGGGAAGCGACCGGGCTGCAAAAGGGGACCGTTGGCGCACTCTTCCATGACGTCGACCGTTGCCGATCGAAGATGTCCGTCCACGGGCGCCAGGAACAACAGTGGTACAGACGGCCGTCGCAAAATGTCGTCGACAGAGCTGCCGACGACGTCCCGATTCTTCAGGATGCTCGACCTCCGAGGTACCTCGGGAGGTCCCTTGGGGAACGCGTCGAAATGGCTGTGGCCCGAGGAATCCCAGGGGAATCCCCGAGGAAAAGTTTTCACATTTTTTTTTCAATTTCTTCCCCGAGGATAAGTGGAACGATCATTTCCTCGGGGGATTTACGCGCCCGAGGAGTACAAGCCCCTTAACTGCATTTGAAACTCCGAGTCGGGCCCAGACTAAACTGCTAAAACGCAGTCTGAAATGCAATTACGAACTGCCTTCGTGACTCTACCGTAGTTACCTCGTTTTTTTTTTTTTTCGGGACCTCGATTTTAATTGTGAATAGAGATTATCACGCTTTTCTCTTCCAACAAAATTGTTCCAAAAATGACGTTTTCTCGAATGCTACGCCCCCTACCCTCGCCACTTTCCATTGAGCTAACTGTCTCCTTTTTGGGTGACAGCCAGTTCAACGTCCGTTGGCCACGAAAAGCCTCCTTTCTGGAGATTTTTTCTTTTTTTTAAACGTTATTTTATTATGTTCTGATAATTTTTTGAAGTCGCTTGTACTTTGCTATTTTCATGCGACTTAAGGACCAAATATGCGTGAACTACGGGAATTTGGCAAATTTGGTGTGACCTTTGAAGGACCACATATGCGTCAACTACAGGAATAGGGAAACTCTTCATAGGATCGAAGCGACTCTTCGGAGGATGGGAGCAGCTCGAATTCGTTGTTGTCATGGGCTCCTGTATCTGTCTCCGTTACTGGGCAGATTCATGGACAGATTCACACATATTTATTCCTCCATAATCTCTCTCTCTCTCTCTCTCTCTCTCTCTCTCTCTCTCTCTATATATATATATATATGTACAGTCTGTACAGTTTTCCATCTGGTGTGGGTGAGTGATAGTCTACTTTGATTTTGGTTAAGGTAGATTATCTTTTACACTGTAATCAGTGAGAGGATTCTGCAGACTGTTGAGGGTTCAGCCTCCTGATGAGTCGGTGAAACTCCGACGAAACAGTTTGTCACAGCCCCTCATTTGTTCTTCTCTTCTCTCTCTCTGCCTACGGTTTACCAGGCAGTTCTGTTTGCGATGATATATATATATATCGTCAAATATATATATATATATGAGAAAACTATGGCGCAGTCAGGGTTACAGTTTGTAATTGCATTCGAAACTGCGTTTTAGCAGTTTTGTCAAGGCCCGAGTTTCAATTGCAGTTTAGTCAGGGCCCGAGTTTCAATTGCAGTTTAGTCAGGGCCCTAGTTTGTAATTGCATTTGAAACTCGGGCTTGCTTTCTCTAGCAGTTCAGTCTGGAACACGGCCATTTCTTTCTTTCCTGTGTCTTTTTTTTTTTTTTTTTTTTT